TAACGGAACCAGTGTGGCGGATCTGTGGTCCGGACTAACGGAACCAGTGTGGCAGATCTGTGGTCCGGACTAACGGAATCAGTGTGGCGGATCTGTGGTCCGGACTAATGGAACCAGTGTGATGGATCTGTGGTCTGGACTAACGGAACCAGTGTGATGGATCTGTGGTCTGGACTAACAGAACCGTTGTGACCTGCAGCTGAGCTCGTCTCTACGCTCCACCATGCCTCTGGTGCTGGACGCCGTGTGGGCTCTGTGGAGCATCGGTGCTGGCATCTACGACTACTTCCACACCAGTGCCATGGAGGAGAGGATCCACACCCTGGAGCACGTCCTCTCCATCCACCAGTTCGTGATCGGCGTCCTGTCCGCCGGCCTCGTCCTGCTCTTGACCTGCATACTGCTGAGAAAACTCTGACACCTGGTGGAGGGACCTGAGCATCGGACTGGAGGGTCCTTGGTGGTAAAGACCAGGTCCGGAGCACTGATGGCCACTTTAAGTCTGTGAGAACATGAAGCGTGTTCCATCAGGGAGGTTTTCTGTGTGTTCATCTCCCTGCAGGATGTTTCACGGAGCTGCTGACTGTGTTCCCTGGTCAGAAACGTTGCTTCATTCTTTCTGACGTCCTTCTTTTAGTGACGACGGTAAAAAAAAAAAAATTAAGTTGTTAGCTTTGTCTTAACTAATCATTCTATCAATCATTGTTTCAGATCTTTGTCCAAAGACTTAAAGGCACTTTGATACCAGAATATTATTTTTCTAAAAACGAACATCTAATTATGTTGAGGCTGATTTGAATTTGGAGCAGTTTGTCTTCAGCTTTTAAGGGAATGTTGATGATCCAAACTGCCTGGATTCATCTCGTCATGTGTTCTGCCCCTGGAAGGGATCTGTGCATTTACACCGTGGAATAATGAAATGTAACCAAAACCTTGTTTCTATGTTGAAATGTTATGGTGACCATGTTGAAACCTAAAGCAACACGCTCTGAAACAATGGAACTAAAGTTACTCTATTTATCTTTATTCTTTCTTCCTTGGAGGAAACAAATCTTAATATATAAATTTAATGGTTGTTATTGGGATGTCGTGTGTGTAAAGTTTCTAATGCTTGTTAGTGGGATGTCGTGTGTGTAAAGTTTCTAATGCTTGTCCTGTTTAAGTTTGTCACATTTTTTTTACCATCATTGTACTGTTTCAACCAAACTACTGGTCCTGTCCAATGGAAAATGTTTGATTCATAAAATAACTTCAAGCTCCTTTGCTGACTTGAGTTCATTTCAATTAAATATATTTTTGTGTGTGTGTTATACTCTAGAAAAACAAGGTTCTGCTTTGTTACGTGAAATTGTTTGTGTTTAGTTTTTGAATATGAACCCAAGTTCTCATCTACTAAGTTTTATTTAATAAGCATTCAAATATGCATTCAGACACACAATGCGAAAAAAGTGAAATTCTTTTGCATTCAATAAAACAACAGATGTTTCAGAAAATTAATAAAAATGCAGTTTAATCTCAGTTTATAGACCAAAGTCTCATTTATTGATTTAAATAAGAATGACATGAACATCAGACATCACACAAGTCATCAAAGGAAAAGCTGAGAATAATAAAAACATATATAAAAAAAAAGTTAAAAATTAAGGGTGCACCAATAAATCATTTCCTTAATTATCGGAAATCGGCCGATACTTGCATGAGAAACCGATTTTTTGTTTTAACAATTGTCTGAACTTCATTTATATTTCAGAGCACTACATCATGGCCAGTTAAAACAAGTTTGTATTGTTTGTAGGATATTGTTCAAGGGTATATTTTTCAACAAAATAATATTGGAAAATTGAAGGTGCATTGTGAACTTATAACACCTGACATTGTCGCTTATAAAACAAAATCGGAATCGGCAGGTCAGACTTTAGAAATCGGTGACTATCCGGGCTCCAGCCTCAAAACTTCTGCGCCTGCTGCTCCAATCTGAGGATCGACCAATGAGAGCTCAGAATTTCAGCAGCGGACGCCGTGATTGGTTAAAGGACGGTGAAGGCGGGCTCTCTGAACGCGTCTTCGCTGCAACGTTCATATCTCAAGTTATGCGAAGAGGGCGGAACTTTGTCAAAATTTACCTTCAAAATAAAAGTAGATATTTACACAAGCATTACATTTTAGACGTACCCTTAAGTTTTGACATGTGCCTCGATTAAAGTGCAATTAGAAGATTAACCTGGATTATGAAATACCCATAATTTATGTTTATTGTGTAATTAACGACTTCATACTTTTCATAATAATTTGTTGAGAAAATCTTAACCGGATGTGTTTTGTGCTACTTCCCTCCAGTGTACCCTCAACTTGCTAATAGGCAGGCGGCATAAATAATGTAAATTTTGATCAAGTAAATATATAGTAACTACAGAAGGAGTGCCGTATTTACTTACAATCGTTTCCGTGTAGCAGTGACGTTACTTCGGGGGTCACTGTCGGTCTGGGCAGGGTGTTAGCATCATGCTAACCGGTTAGCCCGGGGTTTCCGCTTCAGCTCGCTGGAGGCTGTTCTCTTGTTTCGCGCATTTCAAGCCTTTTTTTTTCCTCCAACCTCCAACAGTTCAACTGGTTTCAAAGAAAAGCTTCAGACTACCGCTCCTCCAGTGTGAAGTATAACACATCTGGACCTCACCGGTACGTGCTTACTTTGAAGACGGCGGGTTTGTTTTGTTGTTTCCACAAAGGAAGGGAGCTGAATTTCTGTTCTCTTTTTTTAACCCACACCACCTCAGGTCGGGTGGTGTGGCAGCTTCCCCCGGCCGTGTCTCGTAGTTTGGGCGATGGCTCCACACAAGCACAGCTCTTCAGGTGGAGGCCACCATGTGGTGTTGGGTTCTGGAGGAAGAGCCAACGGGCTGTGCCCCCAGCAGCAGCCCAGCGGGCAGCTCGTTCAGGCCGACCACGAGCTGTTCCTGCAGGCCTTTGAGAGTGAGTCCCTGCTGCTCAACTTCTCTGACTGGACTCTGTCCTGGCTTTTATCACAACCAACAGTCGAACAAGACTCATAATCTGCCTGTTCTTTCAGATTACGCGTTTAACCTTTTTGAAACATGTTTCTCATCTAATTTATATTTTATACACTTAATTACATTATGTTGTTTGCAAAATATCCAGCCTGCAAAACCAAAGAGATCAAATGTTTGTGTTATCCAGTCAGTCATATAGGAGACTTTGAAGCAGGAAAATGTTAAATGTGATGTCTGATAGTCCCATGTAGTATTAGTATTTTACTTCTGTTTACTGGGATTAGATTCATCTTTATCTGAGCTTTAAGCTTTTATTACACTGATGATATGAGTGCATTTTTTTTCTAGAGCCAACACAAATCTACAGATTCCTGCGCACAAGAAACTTGATCGCTGTGAGTGTTTCCTCTGAGCCTCGTCATCAACAGAACCTATAGAGATAAAGTGACACAGGATTTAAACTCTCCTCCGTTCTCTCTCTCAGCCTATTTTCTTGCACAGGACGCTCACATATATGTCCCACAGGAACTCGAGGAGCAACGAGAAGAGGTAAAACCCCACTGACGTCGGTGATGCTGATAAGATCTGCTTCCTTTTTTACCAAAGTGACTGATGTTTGTGCTTTGTTTAAATCTGGTCAGGTTGTAGCCTGGCGTTGTTGTCTGCCTTTCTGAAAGCGGGTCAGCAGTTACGACGAGTCAGATCAGTACTAGTTGAGACAGAGGCGTTTTTCAGTTGAGCTGCTTTGCATAAAGATGAATGAACACCGTGCCTGAACACGTGGGGCTGCTTGTGCACTGAAGGAGACAACTTCAGACAATACCTGAAGGTTACAGGTTTAAAAGTCAAGTTTAAAAGGAAGCTGTGTTGGTGCACAAGAACTGAAGTAGGTGCACGGTGATCATCAGGTGATAAATGGGTTCCAGCTGGGTGTTTCTTCATGTGACTTGTAGTAACTGACAGGAAACTACAGCACTCAAGTGTTTGTTGTTGTTGAGATGACAGGTCTCCAAGACCATCTGTTGTGTTGACAGCTGCTATTGGACCAGAATCTGTTCAATGAAAGAGTTAAACAGCAAATCTATTTGTACTGCCGTTATAATGATCTGTTTCTAGTGTAAAAGTTGATTTATTTTTGCCCATTTTCAGCCCGGGATGGGTCAGGTGTTTGGTCTTTTTCCTGTCAAATGCTCTTGCTGTGTTGCGGGGGTTGAATCGTGTCCTGAGTTAAAGTGGAGGTTATAAATGCGGTGCCTTCTCAGTTTCACTTTCTGCTGCAGACTTCACTCATCTTGTGACTTGAAACAATCGGCTCCACTCTTCTTAAAGACGCTTAAAGTAGCACTTAACACCAACTACAAAGTCAGATGAGCAGTGGAATCCAGAAGAAAGTATAAAATCCTGCAAAACGGTAATGATCAACGAGACCCAACAGTAAATCTTGACGGTTCTGCCAGGTTCTTGCTAAACATCAAGGTCTTGAATGAACTTGGTCTGGACAGTTTTGTCTTTGTTGGAGCCAAAGCTACTTTACGTCTGCAGGATTTAGTCTCTTAGGTATTTTTAAAAATCAGATTAGTTTTAAAACCATATTTTCGCCCACAGTAACATTTCATGTTGTTGCAGTTTGTGGGTGGTGTTGCTCTGCAGCAGACGGTGGTGCAGCCTCACTCGTTCTGTCCAGCAGGAGTCGAGGGTTTGATTCTGTGTGAAAGTTGTTCTGAGTCCAGCAGCGTTCTGCAAAGGCTCACAGCTGGTTCTAGTTACTCATGCTCCTTGTCAGACTTGCTGCACAGATCAAAGGTAAACTTTTATGTGTTTTCCTTTTAGATGCACTCCAGAAACAAACTGGTGCACTGAATATTAGAGCCAGATGTGCACACTTTCCTATCATTTCACAAGCGAGGGCTGTAGGTGACAGTTCTGATGATTAAAGCATTGTACCTGCAGCTGCCTGTAGTGAAAACCTGTTTCTCACCCGTTTGTCTCAGCAGCATCACAAAGTTCTGTTGCTTCATGCTCCAGGAAACATTCAGCTCTTTATGTTCATTAATCGAGTTTATTCTGAGCTGCCAGATTTAATTAACTCTCCCAAACACTAAAACCATCCAAGTAAAAGCATCAAAGCAGAACAAACAGAAAATGTGTGACAGCTTCGTTGGCTCCTTTCTTTGCAGTCGGTCGTCGTCTGCAGCTCGAGGCGCACGTGTTCCTTTAAGAAGAGCTTAAATATACCAGTAGAGAGCAGCTCTGGGATTCAGCTGATTCCAGTCTGTGAAGCAGGAAGTTTCTGTACCTGCAACCTCCAGCTGCTGCAGTCTGCAGGGATCAATGTCAGGAACGCTGGAGTGAAAAGGAGCTGAAATAAAGTTTTATTGTACATTGAAGACACATTTCAGTTCATATGAACAAACTTTGTACATCAGAAGAACTCCGTTAACTTTCATTCCGGACCCTGAACTCCTCATTCTGACTGACCAACCCGACTTTGGTTCAGCCTGTAGAACCAGGTGAAAAAAGCAGTTCCTACTTTGTGTCAAAGTTTTTTCCTCAAACTTTGACAAAAAGGTTCTGTTCAGTAAAACATCGGTCCCGTCTGTGGACGTAAAGGAGTGCAGCCACGTCTGGTGAGCTGAGCGCTGTGTGAGGATTGAGTTTGTCTAAAGCTGCAAACAGCTGCTCTTCATTCACAGGAAGTCCTTCAAGGCCGATGATCTGCTCTTCGAAGTGGACAAAATGAGAGGAGACCAGGAGGCTCTGGGGTAAATACTGCGTTTCCACAAAGCCCTGAGTCGTGTTTCTGTTGAAGTCTGCCTCTTCAAACAAGATGTCGACCTTACAGCTGCTTACTCAGCTCTGCACTTTCTGTTCCAGCTTGGCCTCCAACCTGCAGCTCACCTTCACTGGCTTCTTTCATAAAGCAGGTAGGTTCGTCCCTGTCTTCCTGTTAGTTTGGCTGTTCTTCAGCGTGACTGACAGGAAACTGTTTTTTCTCCGTGTTTTCAGGAAAACCATCTCAGGACAGTGAGAACGAGCAGAGCTCCGTGTCTCTGGAGGTCCTGCTGGTCAAAGTCTGCCACAAGAAGAGGAAGGTTTGTGTCTGGATGCTACAACGATCCATACATGGTTTGTCTTCAGATCTAACAGAGATTTCTTGTGGTGTTCAGGATGTCAGCTGTCCGGTGAAGCAGATCCCGACAGGAAAGAAGCAGGTTCCTCTGAACCCAGACACGGGTGCTGGAGTCCAGGCCAAACTGGGCTCCCTGCCCACCCTGCTGGTTCCCAGCAGTGAGTTTGAACCCAGTAACTCTCATATGGTCAAGTCTTACTCCCTGCTCTTCAGGGTGTCCAGACCTGGTTCCCCCCGGACCCAAATCAACGGCCTAACCAACGGAGAGCTCAGAGGTGAGCAGACAGATCAGAGCGTCAAATATGTTTAAACATGATTCTGATCCGTTTACTTTTCTAAACAGCTCCACCCAAAAGAAGCTGTGGTCAAAAAGAGTTCTTATATAAAATATACAACATTTTCTTTTTGCATAGTTTTTCAAATTCATTCAACCTTTATTTACACAGGTTAGTCCCCATTGAGCCTCAAGGACTCATTTACAAGAGAGACCTGTTTCAGATAAACAAAAGTACTCACCGTCAGGATCTGCGCCCCCATCCTGCTCCGACGGTGTGCAACTTTCTTGTTGTAGTACGAGAATCAGCCAGACTGCATGATCTTCAGAAGTCTTCATGAAGCTTCACTGTCTGACTCATGGTTATAACCATTATACCTTCAAAATGAACAATAAATATCTAAGCCTAATCACTCGAAGAACAGTGCCAAACACCTACGTAACTGAAATTATTTAAAAACTATCTACAGGTAAATATCACCCAGAGTCTTATCGAGGACGTGTGACCAGAAGTCAAATATGTACCATTAGAATGCGGTAAATATTTATTAAATTAGTACCAGTTATTTTTATTGGTTTTATTTATTTATTAAACACGTTTGTTAACTGCTGCTGTTTTTAAATGTACTTTCTAAATAAATTTGACGTGATTCATTCTCCTCAGCAGAGCTCATAAGAGCAGCAGGGAGGAAGGAAGGAAGAACAGCCCTTCTCTCCCCCCCCCCCCCCCTTCTCCCCAGTTCTGTTTAATGTCCCTGTTTAAGCTTAAATGAGATACTGGTATTTAAACTAGAGCTGTCATTTTTAACCGGAGCCCGTCCCCACCCGACCCGGATTCGAACAAAGCCGGGCCATAATAATGTGCTTAATGTGTGGGTCAGGTCGGTGTTGGGCTTTTTATTGCATCAGTGCAGCCGACGAAAAAGCAAACATGGCTTGCCATACAACACCTGCCACATGCGGCCATTTCACCGCAGGCTGACCAGTCGGTAAAACGTTCACTTAAGCTTCAGATGGACCACTGCCAGCGATCCATCAGCCCAAATGACGTTCATTCAGCCGCTGCACTCAGCGGACGCGTGCGGCCGACGACCCAAACAGTTGCGATCACAAAATATCTGACATGTTAGAGCAGGATGCAGGCAGAAGCAGGGGAAGCAGTTAATGCGCTTTGATGGCTCCTCAGCTCCGATCTTCTGCCCCCTTTACTCCAGAAGTGCGCGTCCGCCGATCATTAACAATAGTCGGTGGTATAAGCAGTCAAAGCTTGAGTAAAAATGTTTGGGGGTTTTCTGGTTCAGACCTGTAATTAGTGTTAATTTGTCAGATTGGGTGGGGTTTGGAGATGATGGCTGTGGGCTGGAGCCGGGTCGGTTTGGATTATTTGGACCTGGGTGCAACTCTAATTTAAACACATATTTACCGTACATAGAAAGATACATATTTAATTAAAAGTAAAAGATATGTATCAGTCTTGACTGACTGCTTTAAAGATAAATCTGATGACTTCTCCTCCATTGAGCTCTCATGGACGGAAGGGGAGGGGGGAAAGACTCCTGTCTGTTTCTCAGCTTCGTGTTCGGATGTGACTTTAAAATGAGATCCTGGTATTCAAACGCATATTTACCGACACAAAAAGATGCCACACAGAAAGAATTTAAAACTTTTATTAAAACTTACCAGACTTGACTGCGTCTCCAATGCTGACCATTGACAGGTTGATGCAGCTTACGGGCAGCAGCTGCTTCCTCCTTGACAGCTGATCGATCGCTTTTAACATGAAAGCTGCGTCATAAGAAGTTCTCTGTGCGTTTTCCATTAATTCTCAACAAATGAACAGGTCAGTGCATGAAGTGCAAAATATAATAAACACGGGAACGATCTGAAGAAATGAATTCACGTCTTATCTTGGGGGGGATGGTCCTTGAGAGTACCTCGTTGGTCATTCAGGTTTGACTTCTGGTCACATGATGAAAACATAAATAAGACGCTCTTGCATATAAACCGCGGGGTGCAAAGTGTGAGAAAAAAGTATCAGCTTGTACACTGACAATTACGGTAGATAAAGAAAAGAGAAACATGAGGGGAGGTAAAAAAAAACCCATCGTATCTCACACTATGTCATGGCTGGGGCACAGTGCGAAAGTTGCAAAAAAAAAGACCTCGCACATAAACGGCAACATACTGATGACATCATAATGGACACTGCCAGAGTTCCATAGTCCTGATAAGAGATGGCATCATATCTATATTCTAACTCGGCTCTGATATAGGTCCACAGATGTCCTTGGGAAGGGACAAGGGGAGAACAGAACAGAACTTCTTGTTCACATAACCTCCAGGAGAAATTTGAAGGTCATGGGAAGGGAAACCATATAGTTAGGCAAAACAATAAAATATAGAAGTCAATTGCAAACAAGGAAATCACAAATTACATTAACAACAGTTCATTGTCAAAGTTAGACAACATTACGAAGCATGTGAACATTTGTAAGTATCTTTAAACACAGCTTTTAAACGATTTTTAAAAGTAGAAACTGAGACAAGTGAGGTCATACCCAAAGTTTATGAAGCGGATTCCAATTGCATGGAGCAGCAGAGGCAGACTTGGTCTTTAGAGTTGTTAACCACAAATACTGAGTGGATCAGGTGTATACTTACAAATCGGTGCTAGTTGCAGTAATTAGTTAAATATGGAGGTGAATAACCAGCAACATCTGAGAACCCTTAGCGATCTCTTCACAGATTGAACAGGTGGTCGCCCAAGCCGACGCCCTGACGACTGATGAGGAAAGGGACAAACTCCGCCAAGTTCTCCTGAAATATGAGAAGTCATTCTCAACTGACTCAGTGGATTGTGGGTTGACCTCGCGCCACACAGTCAGCATCCCAACTTCGCCCAACTCACCACCTACATTTGTCAGACAATACAAGATTCCCCTGGCAGCACATCAACCTGTCAAGGAAATCATTGATGACCTTTTAGATAAAGGCATAAACAGACATTGTAATAGCACCTACTCTGCACCTTTATGGCCAGTTTTGAAACCAAATGGTAAGTGGAGACCTACCATAGACTCCAGAAAGCTAAACAAACAAGTTCCTTTATCCAGGTGGCCAATGACCCAGATCCAACAGGAACTGCCCAAGGTCACCAATGGTAAGTACTTTTCCCACCCTCGATGTCGCCTCTGGTTTTTGGACCATTCCTGTGCGCGCCGAGGACCAACACAAACTAGCTTTCACTTTTGGTAGCCGACAATACACCTTCACCAGGTGTCCCTTTGGCTACGCTAACTCACCAGCTGAGTTCAACATCTTTTTGAACAAAGCATGTCCAGACGTCCACAAACGTGGGACACTGATCTACGTGGACCCCAGGGCAGGAGCTCCCAGGCTGGGTACGGTTCCCCGGGGTCCCAGAGGCATCTGTACCCAGGGCAGGAGCTCCCAGGCTGGGTACGGCGCCGCCTGGTTGCGGAGGGGTGTCCTTTTGAGGCAGCCAACACTGGACTCACACTTGGCTGAGATCGACCACGTTCTGAATCAACTGACTACTGCTGGTGCTAAAATCTCACTGTCAAAATGCCAGTGGTGCAAGACCAAGGTGGACTACGTTGGCCTACTAGTAGGTCCAGACGGAGTACAACCACAATTGACTCGCACCCAAGGCCTAGACAATCTCAAAGTCCCCACCAATCTCAGAGAACTACAAAGTTTTCTGGGTGTGTGTAACTACTCACACCAATTCATAGAGAACTATGCAGACCTTGCAAAACCACTGACTGAACTCTTAAAGAAAGACGTCCCGTTTGTCTGGACTGATAACCAACAGCAGGCAATGAACGCTCTCGGGGACAGACTCAAGTCAGCCCCATGTCTAGTCTATCCAGACTACAACAAAGAGTTTCACTTGGAAGTGGGCTTTTCAGCTCACTGCATAAGTGCAGGTCTGTACCAGATGCACGACAAAGACAAGCGTGTGGTGGCCTACGCCAGTAAGACAATGGCAGGCCCCGAATTAAAGTTCTCTGAGACACTCTGAGAAGCTCTTTTTATACCCAGTCATGTTGTCAATTGACCTAATTAGTGTTAATTGGTCTTCCAGCTGTTCGTTATATGCTCAATTTTCTTTTTCCAGCCACTTATTGCTACTTGTCCCAACTTTTTTGGGATTTGTTGAAACTGTGAAATTTTGAATCAACATATTTTTCCTTTAAAATGTTGCATTTACTCAGATTAAACTTTTGATCTGTCATCTATGTTATATTACAAATAAAATATTGACATTTGCCTTCTCCACATCATTGCATTCAGTTTTTATTCACAATTTGTTTAGTGTCCCAACTTTTTTGGAATCCGGTTTGTAGATAAGCAAGTCTCGCGTTAACCTTAGATTGTAAAACATTAACATGATGCGAAAAGGACAGAGCTCCATGAATCCAAATTCACAAATGTTTATAAACTGTCACCTCTTTTATAATATCACCGTTTACAGTGGTGAAGTCCACTGAGGTGGGTATGGTTCCTCCTCCATGACCGAGCCACGTAATTTTAGTTTTCTTGGCATTTAAGGACAAATTTAAGTCAGTAAAGGTCTGCTGGACTTCAAGAAAACCACATACAATGGACTTCACAATCTCATCTGGAGTAGCACCTAAAAAATATAAAATAGTGTCATCTGCATATAAATGGATGAAGGCCTCACTAACAGAATATGAGATATCATTTATGAATATGGGGAAAAGAGTTGGACCAAGAATGGAGCCTTGGGGTACACCTGACATAACCAGAAGAAACTGAAATATGAGTCAACCTTCACTTGCTGTGACCTTTTTGCAAGATAGATATGGAACCATGTTAGTGGCTGTCCTGAAATTCTTATACGGTCAAGTTGTTTCAGTAAGATGGATGATCAACGGACTCGAGAGCTTTTACTAAATCAATGAATGTTAGCTGATGTATCCACAGTAAGGATGGATATCCTGGGATTACTGAATGAAAGGAAACTGAACAGTAAAAGCTACTGCTTTGATGAGGACGTGCACGTCTCTGTTTCAGACGTCTCTGACGAGGCCGTCAACAGGAAGAGGAGGAGCTCGTCTCTCAGGGAGGAGGGAGAAGCAACGTTTGTGGCTCAGATGACGGTCTTTGATAAAAACAGGTGAGGCGTGTCACCATTGGACCTGTTTGAAGTAGAAGGTGTGTGAGTGGCGCTGGAGGTGAGAAGATGCTGCGCTGCTGTGTTCAGGCGTCTGCAGCTGCTGGACGGAGAGTACGAAGTGTCCCTGCAGGAGATGGACGAGTGTCCTGTCAGTAAGAAGAGGGCCACCTGGGAGACCATCCTGGATGGAAAGGTGTGTGTTGTATACCGGACATCCCCACCCCCCTTCCCAGTCACCTCGTATGACATCACTCTGCTCTCTCTGCAGCGGCTGCCTCCATTTGAGAGTTTCTCTCAGGGTCCGACCCTGCAGTTCACCTTACGCTGGACCAGCAACCCTTCTGACCGCTGCACGCCTCCTGTGGCCAAACCTTTAGGCACCCGCAACTCTGAGACCAACCAGGACACCAGACCGAGCACGCTGAGGGCCATGCACCCTCAGGGTGAGCCATACGGACAGGTGTGAGTTTATCTGCCACAGGTGAGCATGACTGATGCTGTTTGTTCTCTCACCTGCAGCTCTGAAAGACTCCATGAATGCTGATGTTCAGACCAGGAGGGAACAGATCTCAGCAGAGCCTCGACAGAAACTACGCATCTTCTACCAGGTCTGAGTCACCTGATGCCCGCCTGCAGTCCTGCGCTTGACAGTGTGTCTGCTCGTTAAACTCTGCTTCTGCTTCCTGTAGTTCCAGTACTACAACAACACGCGGCAGCAGACGGAGGCCAGAGATGACCTCCACTGCCCCTGGTGCACGCTGAACTGCAGAAAGCTGTACAGTCTGCTCAAACACCTCAAACTGTCCCACTCCCGCTTCATCTTCAACTATGTGGTGAGAACAACACAAGACTGTCTCTTCTTCAGCACCCAGAGCCACTCGGCTACAATCAGCTCTGATTCTTTCAGAAGGTACCAGAGATGGTGCTGCTGACCAGCTTCTCCCCTTCCCTGTCACTTCGAGTCGTTAGGCTGCGCTCTGGAGCAGACGTTCATTAGAAAGACTTGTTAGGCTGAGCATTTTATTCAGAGGACAACTCAGACGGCTTGTCTACCAATGTTTGCTACAAGAGTTGACAGCTGTTGGCTACTGCAGGCTAACAGCTGCTAACATGCTAACGTTACTGTACAAACATCAAAACAACAGAAGTAAAATGGGTCCAATATGTTGTTAATATAAGCAAATATAAATACAGCAGCCTGTTGACTGGTGTTTTAGCTGACACTCAATTTAATTTGAATTGTAAAAATATTAACGTGATAAATTAAACATGTAGCCTTTATCGTAAACATCCTTATAAATAATTAAACTGTGTTCAGGAAAAAGATGAAAAACTGATTTTAACCAATTCAACATTTTCAGTTTGTCTTATTTATTTTTGCGTTCAAATAAAAATACCTACAAATATTGTTATTATTGTGTGAATGCTTAATAAGCATTCATACGCGGACCGCTGCTGGACTGACGAGATAACGTCTAGTCTGGAGAACCGAGTGGATCTCTGCCATCCCAAAACACCTGAATCTGATTCATTTTGGTTTGTCATCACGCGGTTATTCTGGCAGAAATAATTGGATCATCCTGCAGGAGTGCCACAGCTAGCTGCTGCTGTTGCTCTTTGTGTTTGTAAAGGTGGGAAGATCAAATAATGGTGGCATAAAGTTTAATAAATTGAGTTGGTATTTTAACAAGGTCCAATTTGGTGTTGGTTCCGTTTGGACCAGACTTTAGATCGTCAGTTCAAGTAAGTTTGTCATTCTCATCACATGTGGTGCACGAGGTGGAACAAAATTATGTACGCAGAGTCCCATTTACACCCAACAATAGCAAAAGCAGTCCTGTCAGAATTAAACTTAGTTCTTTAAGTGGTGGTCGTTCAAAGAGCTATCTGCAGCAGGTAAGATATTAACTATTAGCCCACACTGAAAGATCTGAACTGTCCTTTGTTCCATATTTGAAGCAGTTTCTGCTGGTTTCAGCTCAAAGCTCTGTTTGACTCGTGTCTCTGGTTTGTGTCCATCAGCCTCACCCTAAAGGTGCGAAGGTTGAAGTGTCCATCAACGAGTGCTATGACGGCTCATATGCAGGAAACCCTCAGGACATCCACAGCCAGCCGGGCTTCGCCTTCAGCAGGAACGGTCCCGTCAAGAGAACCGTGGTGACCCACGTCCTGGTCTGCAGGTACCACCCACCTCCCTTCTTCCGTTTAAAAAAGTCCCTGGCATGCCACTGAGACGTCAGTCCTCTGTTCAGACCCAGGAGGACAAAATCGAGTCTGTCTGAGTTCCTGGAGTTGGAAGACGAAGACCAGGAGCAGCATCAGAGGACTTACATCAGTGGACACAACCGTCTGTACTTCCACAGCGACTGCTGCCTGCCCATGAGGGCTCAGGAGATGGAGGTGGACAGTGAGGATGAGCGGGACCCTGACTGGCTCAAAGAGAAGACTGTGAAGGTAAGCTGCACCCAAACAAACAAATAAAAAGACAGCAGGAGACCCGTCTCCTCTAGGGATAATATCTGTCTGCTGTCTCTGCTACTAAAGTTTTTAGTTAATTTGAATCAAAGTTTTCCTTAAAGTTCTGCTTCCATCTGTGGACTCCATCGGTCTAACAGTCCATTGGTCTAACAGTCCAAACTCCCAACAGTCCATCGATCCATCACCCAACAGTCCATTGGTCCGCCTGTTTATCGATCCCTCAATCCATTAATCCCAACAGTTCATCAATCCATCACTCTTAACAGTAATGGTAAATAGACTGTACTTATATAGCGCCTTTCTATATTATCAAGATACTCAAAGCGCTTTACACAACAATCTGTGTCCTCATACAGCTCTCTACTAGATCTCTACAAAGCTAATTGAACAAATCATTCTAAAGAGACTAATCAGTGCTTCATCACATTCATACACCGATGGGACACACATCAGAGGCAATGAGGGGTTCAGTGTCTTGCCCAGGGACACTTCGGCATGTGACTTATAGTGGATTAGAACCCCCAACTCTTGCATTGGAGGACGATTGCTCCAACCACTCAGCCACAGCCGCCAGTCCACCGTCCATTGGTCTGTCTATCGGTCCACCTGTCCATCGACCCACCAGTCCAGTGGTCAGTCTATCGGTCCATATGTTCAATGGTCCAACAGTTCATTGGTCCATCAATCCACCTGTCCATCGATCCACCAGTCCAGTGGTCAGTCTATCGGTCCAACAGTCCATCATCGGTCCAACATTCCATTGTCCACTGATCCGTCTGGTCATCAGTCTAGCAATTCAATAGTTCATAGTGCAGCAACATTTTGTACCAGCTGTAAACATGAGAGGGAGGCCCGGCAAACTCAGATCAAAAGAGAGTTATAATAAACCAGACGTGAAGTAATAAAAGCGTGGATTACTGTCTCTAAGTGGTGCCTAGAAAGGAGGGGCTTGGATTTTTAACAGGTGCCTCAGCTGAAAGAAAGAGGACTTAACCTTGATGTTGACATGGCAGTCAAGTTTCAGGCAGGGGTCCATTCATCCATCCATCCATTGTCTTCCACTTACTGTATGTACGGGCTTTTAAATCAACCGGATGATTCTTATTTTTAGGGAATAATTAGCATTTTGCCTGTTTATAATGCTCTCGGACCACTTCCGGTTAGCGATGTTGCTAACGCTTCCAGCCCACTCTTCCGCGCGCCGCAGCGAAATAAATGCCACGTATATAAACTTTTATGTCTGATAATTACATTTACGAAATCAGGTATTATATTGTAACATTCTACTGCCTTTCACTTCACTAAACTGTGAGCACAGGACTGAAAACAGCGCAGCCTGTCAGTCCTTAAGGGACACACAGAAATTCAATTCAACAGGTTTCCTGCTTACCTCATGAGATGTTAATGGGTGGCTTGTACAGCCTGCGCAGGCTCGGTCACCTGCCGCTGTGTCACCATTAAATAATAAGAAACGAGCTACCACTTCTAAAGACGGGAGACAGGGTTTCGGTTCCGGTACACGACGCGAGATCGGGAACCGGAAGGGGCGGATGTCCCGTGGCATTACAGATTTATAGACTAGACTCCTCCTTCGCAGAAGGGAAGCACAACCTGTCAGTGTATGAGGGGGAGTGACGAAGTGTGATCTCAACTGATCTTATGAGGTTTGACGTGTAAGGAAAAAATGAGACGGTGCTTCAAAAACCTTTCTACGTGATGTATCAAACAAAATAAACTCTATTTCTTGACGGATATCGAATCCCTGGGAGACTCTTGTTATAGTTGCTGGCCCCGTTTAAACCATTCAGGACCGGGTCATAATTTCATTATAATCCCATCTCTGAGCAGATCAAAAATCCAGGGTCAGTCTAGATAAATGTACTAACACTCCGATACCTCGCTGCTGTTTTTATGACGCTCTGGACGTCACTCAGCACGCATGCAACAAAGAGTAAACTCAAAGCGAGAGCGACACCTGCCCCCTCTTTCCTCTTCAGTGGTGACAAATTTTTTTAGTTTTATTGATGAGTGCTCATTGATCCTGACTTCCTCATTTTGATTTTTTTAAAAATCAGCACAAATAGATTTTTTCATTTTTGGTTTTTAGGTCAAAGTGTTTTTTTATACAACACTCCTGAGTTAAAATGTTGCTGATTCGTTTGAATTTATAATTATTTATTGATTATATTTAATTTTATTTTTCACTATCATATGGTCAAATGTTTACAGCTTTAAAGATTTAAGTTTTTTTTTCCAGGCAAATTGATGCACTTTAATTTGTTGACTATAAAATAATGTTAATAAAGTTATTCTTCATTGTAAGTTGAGCTATATTCTTTTTTTCTTTAATGTTAATAAGGACGCAATGTTATGCAGAGGTGTACTTATAACAATTTTATAGACAAATGATACCATTTACAGGGGGTGGGGCGTGAAATGTTTACTTCTTCCTGGGGGGGGGGGAGATGATCTGCAGCATCCTGTTCTTAAACTCAGTCCTGTGGTTAAGATGTCAGTGTGAAACAATTTATCACAAACAATGACTTTAGGGGTGCACCTGACTTTTATTTTGTTAATTTTTTATTTAGTTTTATTTGTAACAACATGCCGTTGTACTAAGCAATGGTGACACTCAACTTCGCCGGAGTTAGCCTCTCGTGCTGTGAAGCGCCGGAACCGGACCAGAACAGAACCGGGCCAAGGACGACTTCAGCCTCTGCGGTCAGTCTCGTCATTGTTCGCCGGAGTTAGCCTCTCGTGCTGTGAAGCTCGGGAGGAGCAGAGTGAAGCTCGGGAGGAGCAGAGTAAAGCTCGGAGGAGCAGAGTGAAGCTCGGAGGAGCAGGGTGACGCGCGGAGGAGCAGAGTGACGCGCGGAGGAGCAGAGTGAAGCGCGGAGGAGCAGGGTGAAGCGCCGAGGAGCAGGGTGACGCGCGGAGGAGCAGAGTGACGCGCGGAGGAGCAGAGTGAAGCGCGGAGGAGCAGAGTGAAGCGCTGTGGAGCAGCGCTGTGGAGCAGAGCCAAGGAAGCTGCTCGAGAGAAGACCGGACTCTGCATTGGAGCTCTGCTGGCTTCCATCCAAACTCACCTGGATAATAATTTAGATCCGTGCAGGTCCACCGGTTCAGAACGGGTCAGCTGAAGGTTTTGCTCCAGGATCATGCTGTTGTTCTCTGTTGATCTGAATTAAGTCAGGACCATGCCTTGCTATTTGCCATGGATGATCATCTTCTACCTGTTGGTACTGGACCCAGCATCTGTTCATCATGAGGGCAGCTTGAGAGTTTCATTTTTATAGGGGTGCTCCCTAGGGGTGCACCGATAAATCGGCCCCGATTTCCTTAATTTTGGGAAATCGGAAATTGGCCGATACTTGAATGAGAAACGGATTTTACCCATTTAAAAAAAAAAATTTTTAGTTAACAATTGTCTGAACTTAATTTATATTTCTGACTGTTACATGACATGTTAGATGACTCTACCATAGTCGGCCTCATCACAGGTGAGGACGACTCGGAGTACAGACAGCGGACTCGTGACTTTGTGGACTGGTGCCAGCAGAACCACCTCCTGATCAACGTTGCTAAAACTAAGGAGCTGGTAGTAGATTTTCGCAGGCGCAGGCCCATCTCACTGACCCCAGTGAACATCCAGGGAGTGGACATTGACATAGTGGACTTTTATAAGTACCTGGGTGTTCACCTGAACAATAAACTGGACTGGTCTCACAACACTGATGCACTTTACAGGAAGGGTCAGAGCAGACTACCTGCTGAGGAGACCGAGGTCTTTTGGAGTGCAGGGGGTGCTCCTGAAGACCTTCTTTGACTCTGTAGTGGCATCAGCCATCTTCTATGGTGTTGTGTGTTGGAGCAGCAGCTTATCATCAGCTGAGAAGAAGCAGCTAGATGAGCTCATCAAGAAGGCCAGCTCTGTGCTTGGACGCCCCCTCGACCCAGTGCAGGTGGTGGGAGACAGAAGGACTCGAGCTAAAATAACATTAATTGCTGGTCAACGTCTCCCACCCCATGCATGAAGCTGTTTCTGAACTGGAGAGCTCCTTCAGTGACAGATCACTGCATCCTAAATGCACAAAGGAGCGTTACCGCAGGTCCTTCCTCCCAGCAGCTGTTAGACTCTACAACATCACTGCTCCCAACAAACTCAATAAGGATTAAATACATGCTGACCTCTGCTGAAACATACACTCTGCCTGTAATACTGTACTGTAGTCTGCCATTCTCAATGTTCCAATACATACTGAACATTATTATTGATATTGTTTATCTTACTTTTTTATATATTGTTTTTAACATTTAGGAACTTTAGTGTGAATGTTTTTATCTGTTGCTGCCGTTACACTTGAATTTATCATCCGTGGAACAGTAAAGGCTGTTTCTATTCTATTTCAGAGCACTACCTCACGGTCAGGTAAAACAAGCTTGTATTATTCTAGGATATTGTTCAATTGTATGTTTTTCAATAAAAATAAGATTGGAAAATTGAAGGTGCATTGTGACCTTATAACACCTGACAGTGTTGCTTATGAAACAAAATCGGAATCGGCAGTTCAGACTTTTTTAGAAATCGGTGATCGGCCAGAAAACTGCAATCGGTGCACCCCTAATGCTCCCATCTGTCCAATTCAAACTCCAGTTGGACCTGTTAGTACATTATCTAGACTGACCCTGGGTTTTTTGATCTGCTCAGAGACGGGATTATAATGAAATTATGACCTGGTTCTGACTGGGTTAAACAGGGCCAGCAACTCTAACAAGAGTCTCCCAGGGATTTATTATCCGTCAAGAAATAGTTTATTTTGCTTGATACATCATGTAGAAAGGCTTTTGAAGCACCGTCTCATTTTTTCCTTCACGTGAAACCAGTTAAGATCCGTCGAGATCACACTTAGTCACTCCCCCTCATACACGTGACAGGTTGTGCTCCCCTTCTGTGAAGGAGGAGTCTATGGCCTATAAATCTGTAATGCCATGGGACATCTGCCCCTTCCGGCTCCTGATCTCGTGTCGTGTACCGGACCGGCCAGCGCTGTAAACCGTAAACGTTTCCTGCCTTGATTTTAATACAATCGGTAAAACTGAATTCACGTTTCCTTGATTTATTAATAGTGTGAGTTGCCGCTTCTCAAGGGGGTCAGAGCCGAGGGAACAGTGTGGGCTGGAGGCGGATCTGGGGTCTAAGAGGAGGCCTGAGGCCCACGGTTAGCAACAGCTGGCTGCAGTGACCCGTGACCCGCATCCAGCTCCCGTTGTAACAACTATGAAGTCAATCTTGGATCTACAACCTAGGGCGTCCTGGTGCCAAGTGCACTTATAGACACCCTTATGTTCGAACATGGGGTTTGTGATGGATAAACTACGACTAGCACAGAAGTCTCAATAACAGAACACCGCTCAGGTTCAGATCAGAGAGGCCGTTGCTCCCAAGCACGCCCCTCCAGGTCACACTGTCGTTACCCACATAGACATTGAAGTCCCCAGCTGGAGCACCTCCCAAAACCCCAGCTAAGGGCTCCAAGAAGGCCGGATACTCTGAACTGCCATTTGGCATGTAGGCACAAACAACCGTCTGAGCCTGTCCCTCACCCGAAGGCGCAAGGAAGCTACCCTCTCACCTACCGGGGAAACACCAACACACAGGCACCAAGTCGGGGGGCTACAAGTAGACCCACACCAGTTTGACACCTCTCACCGTGGGCAACTCCAGCGTGGAATAAGGTCCAGCCCCTCTCAAAGAGATTGCTTCCAGAGCCCATGCTGTGCGTTGAGTCGAGCCCAACTATATCTAGTGTGTACCTCTCAACCTCATGCACAAGCTCAGGCTCCTTCCCTGCCAGAGAACTTGCATTCAATGTCCCAAGAGCCAGCTTTGGTAAGTCTGGGTCAGAGCGCCAAGGCCTCCACCTTTGGCCACTGCCCATGGTGTCATGCATCCGATTCGTATGGCTCCTTCTGCAGGCGGTAGACACATAGGAAGGCAAACACATGTTGCTCATTCGGGCTGAGCCCAACTGGGCCTCATGGGTAACTAGTAAATGGACTGTATTTACAATATACAGCACTTCTCTATCTAATCCAGATACTCAAAGCGCTTTACAAAACAATCTGTGTCCTCATTTACCTCCACACACGCATTCATGCAGCACTTTACTACATCTCTACAAAGATAATCTGAATCTGCACAGGCTAATCAGAGTTTTAGATCACATTCATACAATGATGGAACACACATCGGAGGCATTGAGGGGTTCAGGGCCTTGCCCAAGGACATTTCAACATGTGATTGCTGGTAGAATTGAACAGTAACCCATGTCTGGGCAAGGAACACTGAGTTCCTTAATGCTTTCGGTCTATAAAAGTCTTCTGGATCGCTTTTTGTCTGGCATGACACCTAGAACTAATCTGCCTTGGGAGACCCTGCCAGGAGCAGTTACAGCTGCCCTGAGAGCATAGCTGCTAGGATCATTCAGGTGCTCAAACTGTCACAGATGAGCTTAGACCATATCATGTCTGACTGATTTTTTTTTTCTTCTCGTGCAGCAAATTGAGGAATTCACCGACGTTAACGAGGGCGAGAAAGAGATCATGAAGCTGTGGAACCTGCATGTCATGAAACATGGGTTAGTTCTCTGTTCTAGAAAAACACATTTCTGACTTAAGCTAGTTTAATAAGTTTCAATACATGCTGCGGTACCAAGGTTCTCCACAGTTAGAACCACGTCTTGTTGTTATGGTTCCCCACAGTTGGAACCATGGTCTGTTGTTCCTCTGGTTCCCTGTGGTTAGAACCATATTATTGTTCTTCTGGTTCCCCAGAATAAGAATGATGATCCAATGTTCCTTTGGTTCTCCACAGTTAGAACCATGGTCTGTTTTTCCTGTGGTTCTTCCAGTTAGAATCATGGTCCGTTGTTCCTGTGATTCTCCACATTTAGAACCATGGTCTGTTGTTCCTGTGGTTCTCCACAATCAGAACTATTGTCTGTTGTTCCTGTGGTTCTCCACATTTAGAACCATGGCCCGTTGTTCCTGTGGTTCTCCACATTTAGAACCATGGTCCGTTGTTC